TGTCTCTACTTTGGTCTTCTTAAAAATGGCTTTAAATTTTAATAGCCGCTAGAACAGTTTGAGGTTTGCAGCAGAGTTGAGCAGAAGATAGATTGTTCCAGAGACCCCTTTCCCCTCAGGTGTAGACACCCTCGTGACCATACCTACCCTCACTCCCCAGGGGTGCGGTTGCTGAACCTGCAGACACGTGGTCCTTTCCCAGAGGACACAGCTGTGTTAGGCTTCTTCTTGGTCAGTGGCTACATTTTAAAAGATGGGTAATACCCAGTGTTGGTGGGATGCAGATCCAGAGAGCTTCCATGTAGAGCTGCTGGCCTTTTTACTACAGTAAGGAGAAGCACACCGCCAGATTCAGCTCTTCCACTCCTAAGAAAATGCCCCACAAAAAGGTCTACCGCTGCTCATGAAAAGTGTTTTTAAAAGCACATTCATGGCAACTTATTTGACATAGCTGAAATCTTGAAGGGACCAAATGCTCATCGATAGTAGAGTGGGTTGGAAAAAGAATCGTGGCATCATACGCTGGGATAAAGCAGGGCTGGACAAATATTATTCGTGTGGGACCCAAGTCCATAGTCTGCATGTGGTCTGCTCAGCTCTGCAGTGTATAAACAAGTGGGCGTGGTTTTGTTCCAGTAGAACCATTGATAAAAATGGACTGTGGCCTTGGGGGCCTGTTTTGGCTGCCCTCTGCTGTGGAGCCATCCACGAAAGTTAGACGCACCTCTGTGGATGAGTCACCTGTGTCATCTTGCATGAAAGAAGTCATAAAGTTCAAAAGCAGGCCATGTCAGCCTTGGTACCAGAGTCAGCACAGTGGTTGTCCTTGGAAGATGGAGGAGCAGGGATGGTGGGAAGGAGCTTTTAGGTTGCTAGTACTCTCTGCCTGGTTGGTGCTTACACCTTGCTTTCTTTCTTTATCTACGTATGTATGTATGTATGTATGTGTTTATTGGAGCCAGGGATGGAACACAGGGCCTCGTGTATACTGGGCACTGTCTGCCTCTGAGCTACACCTCCAGCCCTGTGTTCACTTTTGATTACTCACTGAGGTGCATATTTAGGACTTGTGCACTTCTCAGTGTGTGCATGTATGTGGGTGGGTGGGTGTAATATTTTAATAGTTTAAAAAATTAAATGTGTACACTGTGGTCCCATCCCTGGTATGTGGTAAACATACAGTAATTGTTCACTGAATTGGGGGTTCTAATAACAGACTCTGTACCAAAATAAGGGCCAGGGAAGAGTGGTTAATGAAGGGTTTAGCTTGAAGAGCTTATTGAAGACTGTGTGTGCGAGTGTGTGTGTGTGCACGCATGCGCGCATGTGTGTGTTTTTTTGGGATTGAACCCAGAGCATCACACATGTGAGACAACTCTCTGCTGCTGAGCTCCACTCACAGCCCCTATTGAAGACTTTGGGAGACAGAAATTTTTGGTACAGAGGCAGAAACTGCAGTAATATGGAAACGGAACCACTTTCATGCAAAGGAGATGGGTCCTGTCTGAAAGGCCAGCGTGTGCCACACCTGGTGTAAGCCGACAAGTGACTGTTCTTGTCTGAAGCAGTAAAACCATGGCTAGCTATGTAGGGCAGGCTTCTAGGACAGTTTTGTAATGATGATATCTAAATTGCATCCGTCTGGCAGATACTGTTGTTTTTTACCTGCTTCAAGCCCCCGCCCCCCCGTTACCCCGTAAAGGGTCATTCATCCATTATTAGCACTGCGTGGTACAGAGGTAACGCAGGGGTAACCAAGAAGTGGGAGAACCCCTTTTTCTCCCAGGCAGAGGATTGGCTTAGATGGTCTTTGTGCTTGTGGCCAGATTACCTCCAGGGCAACATGGTCCCCACCTCCATAACAGTCAGGGCAGGGACCACCTCAGTGACTGTGTGACAGCAGTTATGGAGCCCCAGAGACAGTGGGCCTGTACCTCCTTTGAGCTAACAGCTCCACCTGCGGAGCTTCCTCGCTGCTAAGCTCCTGGGAGAGGTTTGGAGGTGAGCCTCGGCGCCCTGACAGGTCTTCCATCAACGCAGCCCAGGAGGGGAAAGGGAGCAGAGCTTCCGGATGCGCTGGAAGGCCTCCTGGGCTTTCCTGCAGCTTCCCGGTGCCTTTTATTAATTACTTTATTTATTTATTTATTTATTTATTTATTTATTTTTATTATTAGTTGTTCAAAACATTACATAGTTCTTGACACATCATATTTCATACATTTGATTCAAGTGGGTTATGAACTCCCATTTTTACCCCATATACAGATTGCAGATTCACATCAGTTCCACATCCACTTTTTTACATACTGCCATACTAGTGTCTGTTGTATTCTGCTGCCCTTCCTGTCCTCTACTATCCCCCTCCTCTTCCCCTCTTCTCTCTCTACCCCATCTGCTGTAATTCATTTCTCTCTCTTGTTTTTTTCCCCTTTCCCCTCACTTCCTCTTATATGTAATTTTGTATAACAATGAGGGTCTCCTCCTTTACCATGCAATTTCCCTTCTCTCTCTCTCCCCCTCCCCCTCCTCTACCCTGTTTAATGGTGATCTTCTTCCCTATTCTGTTCTTAGTTGCTCTCCTTCCCAGGTGCCTTTTAAATGCCCCTGCTCCGCATGGCTCTTCCCATTCTATTGTTTTCTCTCTCTCTCTCCCTCCCCCTCCCCCTCCTCTACCCTGTTTAATGGTGCTCTTCCTCCCTATTCTGTTCTTAGTTGCTCTCCTTCCCAGGTGCCTTTTAAATGCCCCTGCTCCGCATGGCTCTTCCCATTCTATTGTTTTCTCACAACCACGTTGCTTTTCCTAAGCTTCTCACCTTCGCTCACATTTCCTACCCCAAACGCTTTTCCTTTCTCTGCATTCTCACCCTGCAAGGGTACCTCCCTGGTGATCTCAATCCTTATACCAAATGTCACTTGTCACATGTTACCTAATAGTATTAGTTTTTATGTGTGTATTTCTTTTTGTCCAGCTTAAAAATTGGGTAGGGTCACAGATTACTTTGTCACACCTGGGGTCTTGTGGGTAAAATGCTCAACAAATAACTAATGATGAGTATTTATGCTCTTATAATGTTTTTAATTTAAGACACTTGTAATATTTTAGGGTTCTCTATGCCTCTTTTAGACTTTGAATATCAATTGTTATTAAGTATGATGCTAGATTCTTTATTATAATATTTTTTAATTCTACTGTAATTAATCCTTGTTTTAAAGGCTCATTTTTTTTTTGAGATTGGTATCAATTATTGTGTGTTGGCAAATCTGTTAGCCAGTTTAGTAATTAGCTTCCTCCATTCTACTTCAGCAAGAAGTTGAGAACTTTAAGAAGCTAAATCTCATTAGTAAAGAGCAGTTTGAAAACCTAACACCTGAGCTTCCTTTTGAGCCAAACCAAGAAGTTCCTGAAGCGCCTTCACAGTCCAGGCAAGGTATGTACAGCTGCATTTGTGTCTGAGTACTATGAAAGCAGTTATGGATTGTTTTAAAAGATTGCTCCTTTTTTTCTTTATTTGCAGAAAAATATTAGATATTTGAGAAAATTCTAGAATTCTAGTACTCAATTTTGATGTTTCATTAGATGAACTTCTAAACCTTTTAGAGACTTATGACAACAGACTGTGAATTTGGGAAGTCAGCTTAGTTGTCAACAGGGAAGGGTTTGAACCCCACAGTACTCTGCCTGAACAGACAGGCAGTCACAGAAGTGACCTGGGAGCCATCGTTAGGGTACCAGACCACGCTCATAGCCAGACCCTTACTGAGGAGAAGGCAGAACTGACTGGTTCTCAATGTATCTGAGGAGATTGTTAGAAATGCTTCTGTTCTCAAAGATTTTCATTGAATTGCTGATCCTTTTGTTTTAAGGCTTTGGCTTTGTGGGAACTGTAAATAGCCTTGGGAGATTCGTAAATTAAATCTGACATTTCCAGGCAAGTGCAATTGAACTTTTTTTATAGCCTTTCTTTACAACTTTAAAACATTTCAAAAATTTACCAGGACAGAGTGGATGATGTCATGATACCTCTTGTGCCCACTGCTCACCTTTCACACCTGACCATCTCCTTCCCAGTTTTGTTCTCTCTCTCTCTCCAGGCACTGCTCTGCCTCTCTCCCGATGTTTTGAAGCACGTTGTTATCCCTGAGTGTTTCTCTGTCTCCTCTCCTTTAACACATGAATGACACAGTACCATTACCACATCTAAAATTAATAGCAGTTCCTCTTTTGTCCATTTTTTGGATTTTCTTCATCAGTGTGCATATGAGGTCCAAGCCCTGTCATCCTGACAAGGCCCCTACTCTGCAGTTTCGTAGTATTTTCCTCCTTACAATCTACTGTTCCTTGTAGGATATTGCTGAAGAAACTAGATTGTGCTGTGACCTCCCTCACATTCTGGAATTTGCTGATTGCATTTCTGTAGTTTTATTTAACCTGTTTCTGGTACTGAATTTCTATAGCTGCTGGTTTGAAATAGAGGCTTGATTAGATTGAGACTCAGAAGTCTTGCAAGCATGTGACATGTTGATGCTGTTTGCTTATTTAGAGATGGGGGTCTCACTGTGTGGCCCAGCTGGCCTCAGACTCCTGCCCCAGCCCCTGAGCACCTAGGACTACTGTTCCCTTCATTGTCGGCTGTGCTGGAGGGCAGTTCGGCATGCCACCTGCCCACCTCACCAACAGGCTCTTTGCTTCTCTTTCAGTGTCTCTACTTTTTATCAATTTGATCTTTTTTAAAAAGTACTCTATTTTCATTGATTGATTTTTTTCTCCTGTTTTTTTTTTTAAATTTCTTCTCTTTATTATTCCCTCCATCCTGGTTTGGGCCTATCTTGCTCCTCACTTTCTAGTTATCCTTCCTGAAACTTAGATCCTTCACTTGATGCTGTTCTTTTCTGTTATAAGCAGTTAGTACTGCAAGTTTCCTTCCAGAACTTTCACTTAGGTATAGCTCATGATTTTGAAAGTGCTTCCATTTTCATTCAATTCCAAATATATTTTATTAAATATTTTTTGAGAGAAGGAGGAGGCGGTGAATCACTTATAAATGGCGCCCAAGCAGGACCCGAAGCCGAAATTCCAGGAGGGTGAGCGAGTGCTGTGCTTTCGTGGGCCTCTCCTTTATGAAGCAAAGTGCGTTAAGGTGGCCATAAAGGACAAACAAGTGAAATACTTTACACATTACAGTGGTTGGAATAAAAATTGGGATGAATGGGTTCCAGAGAGCAGAGTGCTCAAGTACGTGGACACCAATCTGCAGAAACAGCGAGAACTCCAAAAAGCCAATCAGGAGCAGTATGCAGAGGGGAAGATGAGAGGGGCTGCTTCAGGAAAGAAGACATCTGGTCTGCAACAGAAAAATATGGAAGTGAAAACCAAAAAGAACAAACAGAAAACACCTGGAAATGGAGGTGGTGGCAGTACCAGTGAGACACCTCAGCCTCCTCGGAAGAAAAGGGCCCGGGTAGATCCCACTGTTGAAAATGAAGAAACATTTATGAACAGAGTGGAAGTTAAAGTAAAGATTTCTGAAGAGCTAAAACCACGGCTTGTTGATGACTGGGACTTAATTACCAGACAAAAACAGCTCTTTTGTCTTCCTGCGAAGAAGAATGTGGATTCTATTCTTGAGGATTATGCAAATTATAAGAAATCTCAGATAGTAAGGAAACACAGATAATAAGGAGTATGCTGTTAATGAAGTTGTGGCAGGAATAAAAGAATACTTCAATGTAATGCTGGGCACTCAACTGCTCTACAAATTTGAGAGACCACAGTATGCTGAAATCCTTGCAGATCATCCTGATGCACCCATGTCCCAGGTGTATGGAGCGCCACATCTACTGAGATTATTTGTACGAACTGGAGCAATGTTGGCCTATACACCTCTGGATGAGAAGAGCCTTGCTTTATTACTGAATTACCTTCATGATTTCCTCAAGTACCTGGCAAAGAATTCTGCAACTTTGTTTAGTGCCAGCGACTATGAAGTCGCCCCTCCTGAATACCATCGGAAAGCAGTGTGAGGAGGTGTACTTCATTCACTTGTGTTGGGATCTCTGTAAACACATTTTTGTTCTTAGTCCTTCTCTTGTACAAATGATGTACTTTGAAGATGTTAGTGTATAACAAAATTGATGTTTGTTTTCTGTTTGAATTTAAACAGAGAAAATAAAAGGGGTTACTGCTCCTTTTTTCCTTTCTTTCTTTTAATTTCATTTCAAAGTTGCTACCAGTGTATTCAATGATGGACAACAGAGAGACATGCTGTAGAGTGTTTGCCTAGTTGACAAAGCTGCTTTTGAATGCTGGTGGTTCTATTCCTTTGACACTACACACTTTTATAATATGTGTTAATGCTATATGACAAAATGCTCTGATTCCTAGTGCCAAAGTTTCAATTCAGTGTATATAACTGAACACACTCATCCATTTGTGCTCCTTTTTTTTTTTTTAAATGGTGCTTAAAGTAAAGAGCCCATCCTTCACAAGCCATCCATGTTGTTCCTTAGGCATTATATCTTTGCTCAAATTGTTGAAGAATGGTGGCTTGTTTCATGGTTTTTGTATTTGTGTCTTATGTACGTTTTAACATGATAGACACAATGTATTGTGTAGCTACAGTTTTCTGGAAAAGTCAAATCTTTTAGGAATTGTTTTTCAAATCTTCGATAAATTTTTTCTTTAAATTTCAAAAAAAATATATATATTTTTTGACCCATCAGTTATTTAGAAGTGCTTCTGTTTTATTTCTTAATTTGGGTGTTTTCCTGATACCTGTTAAAGACAGAAGGAGTCTCAATTATCAACTTCAGGCTTTTCCCATAAAAGCATTTAATCCTGCATATTTCCTTTGAAGCACTAATTTAGCTGCATTTCTTAAGCACTGAGCCACATTCCCAGCCCTTTTTTAATTTTTTTATTATGAGACAGGGTCTTGCTAAATTGCTTAGATCCTCACTAAGTTTTTGAGGCCGGCCTCAAATTTGCAGTCCTCCTGCCTTAGCATCCCAAGTTGCTGGGATTACAGGTAGGTGAGTGCCGCCATGCCTGGCTTCTAAACTCAAATTTTTAAGACTTCTGCTTTAATCTGTAGATTATCTAGGTAATTTAATTTCCAAGTGATTGGAAAATTTTCTCCTTCAGTTATCAATATTATTGATATAGAGTTTAACTCCATTATAGTCAGAGAACATAACTTACATGGTTTCAATTCTTTTGAATTTGTTGAGGTTAATTTAAAGGCCTGTGATACAGTCTGCCCTGGTCAAGGTACCGTGTGCATCTAAGAAGCGCACTTCCCACGCGGGTGTGAGTGGGGCGGTCGGTGATGTCCCTGTTGTGCTGGTGTGTTCTGGGAACTCATGAGAGGAAGGTGGCAGTCAGCAGCTGTGATGGCACAGGTGTCTCCTCCTTTCTGTTGAGTGGGATTTATTGACATGGGTGCTGTCTTGTCAGGTGCATTACACCTGGAGGTCTGCTGTGTCTCCTGGGTGATGTGACCTTGTACAGTTAGGTACGGTCCTTCCTCCCTGGTCTTTGCTCTGAAATGTCGGATGCTAACGTAACCATCCCAGCTTTCTCTGCATGGCAGTGTGATAGATTTCTCCATCCTCCCCTCACCCAGCTGCATCCTTCTATTTTAAGTGAGTTGGTTAGAGACAGCATACAGTTGGGTCCTATTCTTTTTTTTCCCCTTAGTTGGAAGGGGACACAATAACTTTTTTAAATTTTATTTATCTATATATGGTGCTGAGGATCGAACCCAGGGCCTCACATGTGATAGGTGAGCCCTCTGCAGCTGAGCCAAACCCCAGCTCCATGGTTGGGTTCTCTTCTTGTTCAGTCTGACAGTCTGCATTTAACTGGTGTTCAGAGGATTTAATGTAATCACAATAGGTTTGGATTTAGTTCTACCTTTTTATTATGTGTTTTCTTTCTTTTTTTTCCCCTTTGCTGCCTTTGTCTTAGCTGTGGTTTTTTGCATTCCATTTTAACATATCTAGTATGAATTTGGACATATCCATCTTTTCATGTAATATTTTTGGTGGATGTCCAAGGGTTGCAAAATATGTCAACTTTTTATAGTTTATGAATAATCAGTGTTTTCCTATTTCAATGAGACAGTAGAAACTTTCACCCCCTGGGCTTCCTTATGTGATGTTTATCTTAAGTATCATATTTCATACCTTGAAAACCCATCCGATGATGAGACATCTTTCACTTTTAGCCAGGAAGCATGTTTTTAAGATTTAAAAGGAGAATATCTCTTCTCTTCATCTGGACTTGGCCATCTCTCTTGCTGTTCCTCCATTGGTGAGTTCCGGGCTCCTTTTGGGCTCCTGCCTCTCCTGCTGGAGTGACCCCCTGGAGCAGTTCAGTGGGCTGTGATCTCTTCTCGAGCCATGGTGTCTCACCCCTGTCCATCTCACGGGGGATGGAGTTCTGGGTCAGCACTTTAAAACCTGGCCACTGGGGCTGGGGACGAAGCTCAGTTGGTAGTGTGCTTGCCTCGCAGGCACAAGGCCCCGGGTTCACCTCCCAGCACCACGGGAAAAAACAAAAACACAAACCTTGGCCACTTCTGGCCTCCACGCTTGTGTTTCGGGTTTTGCAGAGTTGGAGATGAGCCCCAGGCTACCCACGCTGGGCAAGCGCTGGAGCACGGAGCACCCGCCACGCTCCCCCGTGGGTTTGGATGGAGACATCCAGTCACTCAGGTAGCATTTTTTCTGTCCAGCTTCTCTCAAGATATTTTTGTCCCAAGTGTTCAGCATAACAGGTCAGCGTAGGGATCTCTAGGGTTTATCCAGGATGGAGTCCTCTCTTGAGCAGGGCAGTTTTCAGCTGCTACTTATTCACAATGATTTTTGAAGACATTTCACTTCCAGGCCTGCATTGTCTTCCTGCCCTGGACCGTGGTCTCCCACGGCTTCCCGAGCCTTAGCCAGTGTCTTTTTGATTATTTTCTTCTCTGCTATAGAGATTCAAAAAGTTCTGTTGATTCTGTTTTTAATCATTCTTTAATTATGATTGCCTTGATGGGTTCTCTTCGTGTTGCCTATACTTTGGCTCATTGAGTTTGGGGTTTCAAATTTGGAATATTTTCAGCCATTCTTTTAAATTATGGAATCGGGAATTCTCTTCTGCTCTTTCCTCTCTTTCTTTAAAGATTTGAATTACACATAAGTCAGACAGTTTGGAGTAGTTTCCGATCTCATTAAAGCTTGTTGTTTTTTTTTTTTTTTCCTTTTTAATCCCTTTTCTGTGTTTTCTTCTAGGTAATTTTTATTCCTGAGTCCTCAAGTTCATTATCCTTTCTTCTTCAGTGTCTGACTTATTTTTAATAAGTGTGGTTTTCATCCTAGCTGTGGTTGATGATGATGATGATGATGATGATGATGATGATTCTCCTTCTCCTTCTCCTTCTTCAGTTGTAGATTGACATGATGCCTTTATTTTTATGTGGTGCTAAGAATCGAACCCAGTGTCTCACACGTGCTAGGCAAGTGCTCTACCACTGAGCCCCAGTCCCAGCCCTACCTTTACTTCTATAGAGGTTTGACCGGGATCCCCTCTATATTGTCTTTTTTCTCTTTTTTGAAACAAATATATATTTTAGTTGTAGATAGACACAGTATCTTTATTTTATTTATTTGTTTGTTTTTTAGGTGGTGCTGAGGATTGGTCCCAGTGCCTCACACATGCTGGGCAAATGCTCTACCTACCCTCCAGCCCGTCTTTATCTCTCTTCAATGTTTCTGCTTCCTCTGCTTTGCTGAATAGGTGAAGTACAGTGAAAACTTATTTTACAAGCAAAGTTCAAATCCAATATTTGGATCCAAATTGCCCGACTGCTCTAGTTCAGTGGTCAGCGTATTGTCATCCCTGGGCCCAGACTGGCCTGCAGTGGCCACCCAGGCCATGCCCTGCATCTGCCTGTGGCTGAAACTTTTCTTGCTGAAAAGGCAGTTGTTTCAACAGACGCCCCGTGACCCAGAGTTCCCAAATAGTTACTGTCTGGCATTAGAGAAAAGGTTTGCTAGACTCTGCTTTAGCAGTGTTTTTATTGGGAAAGAACTTGAAGTGCCAGTCCTTACGTGGCATTTTCTATTAGCCCCCTGTGGACACTGACAGCATCGTGTTAAGTTGTGTTTTCATCAAGACTGTCCCTGCCCGAGTGGTGGTACATCCCTGTCATCCAAGCTACTCAGGAGTCTGAGGCAGGAGGATCACAAGTTCAAGGCCGGCCTCAGCAACTCAGCGAAATCCTGTCTCAAATTAAAAAAAAAAAAAAAAAAAGGAGTGGGGATGCCGCTCAATGGTAAAGTGCCCCTGGGTTCAGTTCCCAGTAAAGGAGAGGGAGACAGGCCATCCTGTCTCTAATACAGGGGCTGACACAAGCCTGTCATAGCCAAGTTACGAAACTGTGTGAGGATTTGATTTAGTAGTGATGAAATTTTGGAAAATGTAAGTAGTAAAAAGTCATACTCCTCACTCCAAGATCATACTCCGCAGTCCAAAATCATACACCGTGATCCAGTGGTTCTTAAATTTACCTGCTGAAACAGGTTAAAGGCTCTGTGCCGACATTCGGATCCAGCACATGAGGTGGGGTCTGAGGACATGCCGGGGGTGCTGTAGGGACCACACCTCAAATCACTGCTTCAGCCGAGTCTCTGTAGTGTCCCTGTCCTCTTACAAGCTTTTAGCAAAGACTGTGGGGTCAACAGTCACAACTGAGGTGCCCTGAAGAGCAGAGGGTCACAGAACTGCATCCGACTGGCCTTGAACTCGCAACCCTCCCGCCTCGGCCTCCCAAGTCTGTGGGATCACAGGCGAGCACCACTGCACCTGCTGTGGCGTTTCTGAAGTGCAATTTACATACTATAGTAATGAAACCTCCTGGAGAGCACCAGTGGATGAGTTGTGGTAAATGTGTATGGCTGTGCATCGGCCCACGGGCCGGTTTTAGGACAAACCCCTGTTAAAAGGTTCCTCCTGTTCCTGTGCCATCAGTCCCTCACTCGCCGTCAGCCATAGGCAGTGTCACCTGCTCTCTTTCTCTGTAGTTTTGCATTTCCCTGAAATTTTATGTAAATGGAGTCATGATTCATGGTAAAGTGTCTGACTTGTTACATGTCTGAGGTTCATAGGGGCTTGTACCTGTCACTGCATGTATCAGTATATTGCTCCCTTTTATTGCTAGCCAGGTGCCATGGGCCAGGCCTATAGTCCGAGCAACTTGGGAGGTTGAAGCAGGAGGACCACAAGTTCGAGGCAGCCTCAGCAACTTAGTGAGACCCTGTCTCAAAAACTAAAAAAGGTCTAGGGATGTAGCTCAGTGGTAGAGTGCCCCTGGGTTCAAACCCCAGTACCCACCCCCACAAAAAAAATCCCAGTAGTCAATCCCAATCAATAATTGGTAGACGTTTGGATTGTTTACAGCACTACCTATTATGAAAATATGCTACTGTGACAGTACATGTGTAAGAGATGGCCTAAGTTTTGTTTTGTTTTGTTTTTTAGTTTTAAGAGGACACACAGTATCTTTATTTATTTTTTATTTTATGTGGTGCTGAGGTTCGAACCCAGTGCCTCATGCATGCTAGGCGAGCCACAACCCCAGCCCACCTAGGATTTTGATTAAAAGGAGTTAAAACATCTAAATAAGGTTCACACGTCAGCCCCAACTTGTAGTTGATAAAAATGTTGATATGTTAATATTCCCTAACTGTACATCTACATTTCTAATGAAATGTCAATATCTGCCATAAATTTTTTGTGCTTACAGTGAACTATTTGTAATAATTATGTCAAATGTTATGAATCGATACATAATATGCTGTAAAAAATTTTGTAAAATGTTTATTTTTAGAAAACTAAAGCACTTTGTAGATTTCAGTCTTCATAAAATTGACACATCTATCTTTATTAGTGGGTAAGTGTCATTCCAAACAAACCTCGAATAAAACAGATGCAAGACTGAGATGAAACTTAACTTTTGCCAGTGGAAACGTCTAGGTTCAGGTAGAAGTGAAGAGACTCGTTGGTGAGCTCCGCGAGCCCCCTCACCCGCGGTCAGCTGGTGCCAGCCGTCTGCCTTCTTCTTACACCTTTGCCTGCCCATCTGTTTCCGGATCTCACTTCTCCAGATCAGGCCCCTTCTGGAAACCCTTCATCGGCTGCCAAGTGTCGATGATGGAAGGGAACTCGGCTGCTCACTGGCTTTTCACCAAACAGGAGCCGGTAGCCTCTGTCTCAGCCGAGCTGCACACAGTCACCTTCTGGTTCTGTCAATCCTTTGACACTTCTTACTGAGAATTCTTCTTTCAAGGTCTTTATCGACTCTTGGTTTACCCTGCCGTTCAACTTTTATACAAAAGGAAGGGCAAATCCTTCTCTTACAAATTCAGTTGATAGATTTTCAGAATAAGAAGCTGATGTCCTAGCAACCTGCAAATGTAATTGAGTTTTAAACTGTCGTTATGAACCCATGGAGCTTATTTATCTGATGGTTTTAATCCATTTCAGTCACTGTTTACGGTGGCCACATAGCTTTGTTTTAACTGGTAGGAACCCTAAAGTCTGTTTATGACCTATAGTAGTATTTTTTTAAAAAAATATATTTATTTTTTAGTTGTAGTTGGACACAATACCTTTATTTTTATGTGGTGCTGAGGATCCAACCCAGGTCTCGCAAGTACCCCTGTATTAGTGTTTTAATAAAACAAAACAAAATTTAATTACTTTTTGGGTCAAGATTTCCTGGGCTCATATTATGAATTTCCTGCTCCAGACTTTATTTTTTTGAGAACTGATAGTGGAAAATGGAATTTAGATAACCATAATCTGGTGCTAGGAAGCTCAGTCTTTCCAGGTAGTTGCTGTTTCTATATCTTTGTATATTTCTTTTATAAAAGTTCTAGATTTAACATTTTTTCAGTATATGCTCATATTTTTAAGATTGTATATCATTTGGGTATTAGGAAATGTTGTGAGAACAATTCAGTTGATATTAGCCTTCCTTTGGGGAGGAGATACTCCTCAGATGTTCAATAAGATTGTGGCTGTGTTTTTAGGGAGCAGGGAGACTTGCTCTAGGGGTCTAGGGGATGATATATTAGAAAATGAATTTTAACTTAATACATGAAACTGTGTTAGTCAGCTTCTTGTGACTGTAACAACAAAATACTAAGATAACCAACTTATAAGGAGGAAAGTGTTTTTGTCTTCCGGGTTTCAAGGGTTTCATTTCATGGTGACATGGCCATTGCCTTTTGTCCTGTAGCAGCACAGTGCATCATGATGGGAACCTGTGGCAGGAGCCCTGTTCATCTCATGGGCTGGGAAGCGAACACAGAGAGATGGGGGCAGGCCCTGATATCCCTTCTGTGTGCACACCCCATATTATCTGACCTTCCATGAGGCCCTAGTCCTGAGTGGTTTCTTCACTTCCGGTAGCTCCAAGCTGAGGACCAAGCCTGTGTGTGTGTGTGTGTGTGTGTGTGTGTGTGTGTGTGTGTGTGGTGCTGGGGACCAAACCCAGGGCCTTGTAAATGTGAAGCAAGCACTCTGCCAACTGAGCTATATTCCAAGCCTTTCAACACATGGGCCTTTGGGGACATTCTAGGTCCAAACTGTAGCAGGAACCATGAATGGATAAAATGCAGAGATGGCTCAAAAAGAATTAATTCTATTGGCAAGACATGTCCAGGGAGTGTCTCACACCTGTGCTGGCTGTCGGAGGAAGGGTATGTGTCCAGCTGAGCACACAGAAGTGGACAGACGGGAACCTTCAGAACAGGGAGAAGCTTAGAAAGTACGTGGAGCAAGGAGCCAGGACTAGATCACTGGGCGCTACTGGGGTCATCCAGGTTGTGGTGGAGAAGGACAGAGGAGGCAAGTCAAGGAGGATAAGCATCTAAGCTTCTAGAGGCAAAGGGGAAACAGTGAAGGAGTTTAGTAGAAATGTGCCCAAATTTGTTCTCAGAATAATCATTCTGGTAACAGTGAGGACAATATTGAGAGAAGAGTTGGCAAGTGGGTAAGTTCACTTTTGGTTTTATAAACTTGTGCCTAGAATAGTGCTTGGTAGACAGTAGGCATTTAATATTGTTGAATGAAAGAACAAAAGGTTGCTATATAAATGCAAAAGAAGTTAGTTCGTGTGAAGAAAAACCACATAAGCAATAGAGCCTGGATTTTTGTCACCACCACGTGATCCCTCCTCAGACTTTCTCAGTATCTTACCTAAGATTTTCATGAACAAATCAGTAAGTAAAACAACCCAAAGCCAGGAGAGGTGGTGCACACCTGCAATCCCAGTTACTGGGGAGGCTGAGGCAGGAGGATCGAAGGTTCTAGGCCAGCCTCAAAAACTTAGATCCTGTCTCAAAATAAAAAAATTTTAAAAGGGCTGGGGCTATAGCTCAGTGACAGAGCAATTTCACAAGGCCCTGGGTTCAGTCTTCGGTACTGCACACACACAAACGCCCTAGGAAAATTGCCAAAGGACTCGCAGGGCAGGCTCACAAGAGTGGCAGTGTGAGTGGTAAGCAGGCAGAGGAAAGCGTGCCCAGCTCCACGGGGGACAAAGGCCATTTGAATCCATGAGTTGAGAAAATACTTAATAAGTGTCTGAACAAAACCCAGTGTTGACCAGGATGTGAATCCTGGAGCATCCCCGGCTGCTGTGAGAGTGTAAGTCTGCAAACCTCAGCAGCCTGCTGTCTGCAGTGAGTAATCAGTAAAGCCCAGAGATGCGGTATCCACTCCAAATAAGCCGTAAAAAAGGCACACACCTGCACAGAGGATGTGCTCCACCAGGTTGGCCACAGTGTGGTGGGCTAAACCAAAAACGGGAAATAACATAAATGTCTGTGGGAGAATGGACATATTTTGATATATTTGTAAAATAATATTAGCAGTGGAAATGAAAACTCAGATCTACATGAATGCAACATGAAGAAAAGCTTAGAAAATGATGGATATAGTATATTATGACACTTATGTGAAGTTGATGATGCAAAATAACATTGTTACCTATGCGGTCATAGGATTGAAATACCAAATTCAAGAGCAGGGATACCTCTGAGGAGGAAAAGCAGGAGGGAGGTGGATTAGGGAGAGTAACAGAGAGCCTCAGTGTTTCTTTAGAAAGATAAACACTGGGTTTTTTTTTTTTAAAGTAATTCTTTCTGATGTATTTAAATGGTTCTGATGAAACGAATTTGAAGAGTCATCCTCAAAGTAAAATATCTTCCTAGCATCTAAATACTTTTAAGAGCTACTTATTTTGCAGATTTGGCTGATTAATTAGCTCAGAAGTTGTTTGATGTTTCAGAAAAAACATTAGCAACAGTGGCCTGTTGGTTGCCCACGTCGGTTCCAGAATCTCCAAGGGTGAATCCTGCAAGGACACCCAAGACCCCCCGGACACCCAGGCTGCACGACCCTGACAAAACACCCAGATTTTATCCTGTTGTTAAAGAACCAAAAGCCATCGATCTACAGGTAACGAAACAGCCAGGAACACGTCCCTGAACATTACCAAGTTCTATCACATTTTTAAAATGTATATTTTTAAATTGTAAGAATTCATTTAAAAAATGGTACTTACCATCACGACGTTTTCTTGGGTTAAAAATGAGCTTCTTTACAACTGGGTGGAGTCCTCAAAGGTGATCAGAGGGTGTAATGGAGAATCGAGTTGTGTTTCCTGCAACCCTTGTGTTACAAACCTAGCAAAGGGTCTTGTTAAATTTTGCAACTTGTATGGGACATGTTGGAGTTTTGTGACTTCATGTGATTTCACAATGTGTCATCCACAGTATGAAAATGTCTGAGCTGGCTGACAGCAGAGGGTTTGATTTATTTGTGAAGTTCACACTACTGACAGTGATTGCAATGTCTGACTTTGTTTTCTTCAGAGTCCCAGGAAGAGAAAGACGAGGCACAGCACAGACCCCCCTCTAGAGTGTCATGTTGGCTGGGTCATGGACTCCAGAGACCACGGGCCACGAGCACCCTCTGTCAGGTACCACCTTGATCTGAAGGTCCATTGAAAATGGTCACTAATGGAATTACGTCAGGAAAATGTAGAACAATATAAGCAGTAAAAAGAAATCAAGGACATGAGTCAGTGGGCCCAGCTGGTTTCCATTTCAGTTACTTTTCACAAATGCAAATGCTCAGATTTATAAACTATGGAGGTCTACAAAAGTTATTTTTGGAAAGATCCCAGATTCTTAATGGCATTCGGTAGGTTCTTAGTCGATACTCATTGACAGAACTGATGTGCTAAACCATCTACTCAAACTAAAAAGAATACAGAGACCAAAAACAATGATACTAATTACAATCGTGATTATTGAAATGATGATGGTACTCGGCATTGAACCCAGGATGCTTTACCATTTGCTTTACCATTAAGCTAGATTCCTGGCCCTTTTTAAATTTTTTTTTTTTTTTTTTTTTTGAGACTGGGTCTTACTAGGTTGCTGAGGCTAGCTTTGAACTTGCAATCCTCCTGCCTCAGCCTCCCGGTTATTGGCATTTCAGGTGTGCACCATCATACCTGGCAATTATTATTTTGACTTTTCCCCCTTTTCTCAGGAAACAACTTATCTGACTACTAGCTGGAAGTATTTTTTCTTTTTAGTGTTAATTTTTTTAGGATGATTATGTACCTCAGAACAGATTTTGGGGCACCACTGGTTGTGTGCTGGAGAGGGGAAGAGGTGAGGAAACACAAAGCGGCCACAGCACCTCACCTCTGTCTCTCTGAATGCTCATCAAACACATCTCCCCTCAAAGAAAAAGTGTGTGGTTCTTCCGCCCATCAGTGGAATGCTGCTAGTGTTTTCCAGTTCTGTTTGAACTCTTGATTTGTCTACTGCAGCAGGGTATTTTGAGATCAACAGATAACGGTGGAAAATAGTCCCTCATGAACATTTAGTTAGAATGTTGAGTTCTGAGATTTCTTAAGATTTGTGTTTTTATCATGTATATTTTCTTGTTAATAATTAATATATGTAGTAACTGTTGATTCCCAGCTACCACCTATTGCGTAGTGTTGGCACCCTCAGATATGGTCGATTTATTTTTGACCAAGATGCCAAGACTGTTCAATAGGAGAACAATCTTCTCAAATCATGGTGCTGGGAAAACTCGGTAACCACATGCAAAAGAATGAAGATAGATTCTTGCTGTATTCCATATACAAAAAAAATTCAACTCTCAAGTTCAGGACTCAAAGCCTGAACTTGAGAGCTGAAACTTCAAAACTCTGAGAAGGAAACGTAGGTGAAAGTCTTCATGAGATTGAATTTGTCATCAGTTTCGTGGGTATGACACCAAAAGCACAAGCAACAAAAGAGAAAAATAAATGGACTTTATCAAAATTGTGAACACTCGTGCATCAAAGGATACTACCAACAGAACAGACAGCCCAATGGGAAGATACGGGAGATCAGACACCTGTTAAGGGATTCAAGTCCAGAATATATAAAAAGAGTTTTGAAAACTCAACAAAGCACCTTTATTTTTAAATGTGCAAAATTCTTCAGTAGATATTTCTCCAGAGAAGATATACAAGTGGTCATTAAGCCTAGGAAAAGATGCTTAACACGGTTAATCATTAGAGAAGCACAAATTAGAAAAACCCCATGAGATACCACTTTGCACCCCCTGGGACGGCGTTATGAACTGAACTGCGTTGAAACCCTGGCCCCTGATGGGACAGTCCTTGGAGACGGGGCCCTTCTGAAGGGAGGAGGCCTGCTCCAGCCATTCTTACTGAAGAGGCAGGGACAGAGACCCTGCAGGCCCACCCAGAGGAGAGGCCGTGAAGGCACACACAAGAAGGCGGCTTTCTGTGTCTCCATCTTGGACTTCAGCCTCTGAGACTGTAAGGAAATGAGTTCTGTTGCGTAAGCACCCAGTCTGTGCTGCTTGTTGGAGCAGCCAGAGCTGACTAATACAGATGTATAATCTTTAAAAAGGAGTAAGTGTGAGGTGTGGGGAAGAACTGGGCACGGTGCTGCCTTGCTGGGGTATGACGTGCTGCAGCCACCAGCATTTTCTCAAAACCATGAAGACACAGAATTACTGTAGGACCTAGGCCTTCTACCCCTGGCTCTGAATTCTGAAGTAAAACAGGGACCTGAAGAATATTGGTTTGTTACTGTTCACAACAGCATCACCCACAGCCAAAAGATGGGCAGCCCAGGTGAGCACGGGCAGGTGACTGGACGAACATCCGGTGACGTACACTTACAGTGAAATGGAAGGGCGTGAAGTCTGGGTGCACGCCTAGTTCATCTGCAGAGGGCCAGACGCTGCATGATCCCGCTGACACGAAGTGCCTAGAACAGTCAGGTTCACCAGGGGCTCGGGAGGGGCATGTTATTGTTCAACACAGTTTTTGTTGGGGAAGGTGAAGGGTGATGACACTGCCAATGTATTTAATGTTGATGAATTATGTACTTGTGAGCAGTGTTTAAAACAGTAACCACTATGCTGGGTGTGTTCACACACACACACACACACACTCTCTCTCTCTCTCTCTCTCTCCTAAAAAAATTTCACCACTGCTTTTATTAGAAAAGTCTTTGAGATTCAGAGAGATACTGTCTCACATTTAAAAAGGGCGGGTGGTGAGGGTACTCACTGGTAAAGCACCACTGGGTTCAATTAACAGTTACCAAAAAATAAAAGAAGTCAAGTCTCAAGGTGTTGAAGGGAAAAGTCTTTAGGTTTTAGGCTCATAAATTACACAAATAGAAGATTTCCAAGATCTCATTTTTGCTTAACGTCTCCGATTTTGCTGTTGGAAACAGGTGTTCCGTCGTTTTCATTGTCATTAAAGACCCCCTTTGTTCATTTTTGAGGAAACATCTGACACGTAATGAAATCTGAATGACCACATCGTTGGTTGTTTTCCTAATTTAAAGCATCACTCCAGTGACCAAAACAGCATGTTCCCTCACCCCTGAATGGCACCTTGAGGCCACCACTGTGCTTCAGTGGGCCACAAAAGTGCTTTGTGTTTCTCTCCTGATTTGCGAAATTGTGGTTAAGAAAATAATGACATTTACCCTCTTACCCATTTTTAAGTGTGCAGTCAGCACCTTTGTGTTCTAAAACAGAGCTCCAGAACATTTCATCTTGCAAAACTGCAGCTTCTACCCCATTCTTGCCACATGCGTAAAGATTTGTACTCAAGGGTTTAGATTTCATAAACCTACTTTTTCTGCTTCAAGGATTCCTTAAATTGAAGGTGGCATTAATTTTTGTTTCATTGCAAGTGCTCCTGCCTCAGTCACATCAGCAGTTTTACAAACCGCTAGGACGAATTTCAACAGGTAGAAAGAGCAGACGGTGTCTTAGTGTCACTGTGAAGACAGCTTTGATCTTGCAGACTTCCCCAAGGTTCCTGGGAACCCTCCAGGGGTCTGCGGACCATGCTTTGAGAACCGCTGAGGGAGCTCCGAGTCTTACAAAGATAACTTTGGTGGCCCGTTAGAGGAGGGAGCCTGGAAAAACAAGGAGAGCAGTTAATTCAAGCGACAGAAGAGAAAGGCCTAGTTTAATAGTGGAGCACTGATGAGAAGGAAAGGACAGACTTAGGAGTATTTCAGAGGTGGAGCTGATGTAGAGAGTTGCAGGTGTGTCTTTGAGATAATGAGATTATTACCTCGGTTTTATGCCAGATTTTGTCCCTCATTTCCATAGATCCATTTATATCATTAATTACTCAAGTTAAATTGGAAATTTCTCCAGTTCTTTAACGATTATTCAAACACTGAATCTGAGCTGCGTTCGTCAGGGATGTGGAGGAGTAATGAGTCTCAGTGGTCTGCTTCTCCTGATTGTCTCAGCGTGAGACGCCCTCACCTGTCCTTCTCCGCTTCCCCCTGGCCTGCCAGCGCAGCCTGAGCACCCCTGTGTGTGTAGATCTGTTGCCACCAGCTGAGCTCCGGTGGGGGGCGGGGGGCTGCTTGCTTTTGCACTGCTCAGGACAAAGGGGTTGACACACTGGTTCTGGATATTTCAGTTTGAAGGCTTTCTCCCCCTCCTCAAACAGCAGTGCCAACACGCCGCCCTCAGGAGGGGTGCCGCTGGTGGGAAGCTGTGGATGTGCTCCGCATTCCTTCCCTAAGTTCCAGCACCCTTCTCACGAGCTCCTGAAGGAAAACGGCTTCACCCAGCAAGTGTATCACAAGTATCGTCGAAGATGCCTGAGTGGTAAGACGCTTGTCCTTCATCCTCCAGTGTTATAGCTAAAGATAGAACTCTGCAAAATTTACATCGTATCGTTTAATATCTGATTAAGATTCTTTTTAAAAAATATTTATTTTTTTTATTTGTAGTTGGACACAATACCTTTATTTCACTTATTTATTTTTCTGTGGTGCTGAGGATCCAACCCAGGGGTGCGAGGCGAGCCCTCTACTGCTGAGCTACAACCCCAGCCCTGGTTAAGATTCTTTAATTTTGTTTTACTTATAATAATCACCGTTAAGTAAATTTGTTTATATATGTTCTTTATTCATGTATTTCGTAGCTTAGGCACATTATGAAATGAAATTTAGTGTATTCTTGTTGTTACTATGGACAGCTGTTTATGATTTGGCCAGTGCCTTGTAAAATATCTACTCTGTCAACTTTTTAAAGTACATTTGATTTTAAAATGTTTTAATATTCTGACTTTTTCCAGAGAGGAAATGCCTGGGAATTGGACAGTCCCAAGAAATGAACACCCTCTTTCGTT